GTATCAGTAGCTCAAAAGCACTTCCCAAAGCAATTTCATCTAATGGCAACAGCTTTGTGGCCCCATTGCAGGGAAGTGAATCATCTTGTTATCCTCCCCACCAGGCTCCTGTGGCTCAGCAGCAGAATGAGGGGGAGAGGCACTCAACTGCCCCCCTGCCAGCCACACATCTGACAATGCAGCCGGCTTGCCAGACTAATATTAGGCTCTGACAATCACATTTGGACAAAAGCACACACACACACGTACGTGCCCTCACAGCTACAACATGCAAGTGGGCTTTTAGCCCTTTACTAATGGATCAATCTTCCAGGCAACATTAACAGTCACTTTGTACACTGGACCACTGCTACACTACGGTCAAGGACGGCTACAAGGCACAATCCCGCCCCCCGTTTGGTAAATCTGATCACGCCGCCATCTTCCTCATGCCAAAATACAAACAAAGGCTGAAACAGGAAGTTCCGGTTCAGAGGAAGGTCGCGCGCTGGACGGATCAATCGGTGGCCGCGTTACAGGACGCACTCGATGACGCAGACTGGGGCATGTTCAGAAACAGCTCCGACGATGACGTCAACGTGTTTACGGAAGCGGTTGTGGGATTCATCGGGAAACTAGCGGATGATACCGTGGAGACAAAGACTATCACAACGTTTCCCAACCAGAAGCCGTGGGTGGATAAAACCATCCGCGACGCTCTGAGATCCCGCACCGCTGCCTACAACACGGGACTCATGACGGGGGACATGGACCCGTACAAAGCCGCGTCATATAACGTGCGGAGGGCGGTGAAAGAGGCGAAGCAGCGCTACGGGAGGAAACTAGAGTCACAACTCCAACAGAGTGACTCTAGGAGCCTGTGGCGGGGACTAAGGACAATAACGGACTATAAAGCACCAACAACCGGTATGACGAACGCGGCCGTGACTCTGGCAGACGAGCTGAACACTTTCTATGCTCGCTTCGAGGCTGCAGCTAAGGTCTCCAACAATGCTAGTGTTGGCGCTAACGGCTGCAGACAGGAAGATACTGCCAGCACCGGAAACGTGCTCGTCATCTCCGAGCATGAAGTAAGGAGAGCCTTCAAGAGAGTGAACACCAGGAAAGCAGCAGGACCAGACGGTATCCCAGGTCGTATCCTAAGAGACTGCGCATACCAGCTAGCTCCTGTGTTCACTGAGATATTCAACATCTCTTTATCTCAGTCGGTGATCCCCACATGCTTCAAAGAGTCCATCATTGTTCCTGTCCCGAAGAAACCCCACCCTGCTTCTCTCAATGACTATCGCCCTGTAGCCCTCACCTCAGTAGTGATGAAGTGCTTTGAACGCCTGGTCAGAGACTTCATCATTTCTTCACTACCAGACACACTGGACCCACTACAGTTCGCTTACCGTCCAAATCGTTCCACAGACGATGCCATCTCTCATCTCCTCCACACATCACTCACTCACTTGGACACTAGAAGGGGGAATTATGTTAAAATGCTCTTCATAGACTACAGCTCTGCATTTAACACCATAATTCCCTCCACACTCACCACCAAGCTGGAGCATCTGGGACTCAGCTCATCTATGTGTCAGTGGATCTCCCAACTTCCTAACTGGCAGACCACAGGCAGTAAGGATGGGCGGACATGTCTCAGCCTCCACCACTCTCAGCACTGGAGCCCCCCAGGGGTGTGTTCTGAGCCCCCTGCTGTACTCTTTGTACACATATGACTGTGTGGCCACTACCAGCTCCACCACCATCATCAAGTTTGCTGACGACACCGTCGTGGTGGGCCTGATCTCTGATAACAACGAGACGGCCTACCTGAAGGAGATTAGGAATCTGGAGAACTGGTGCCAGAGGAACAACCTCCTTCTAAACGTCAGTAAGACAAAGGAGCTGATAGTGGACTTCAGCACTAAGCAGGAGAGGAACTACCAGACCCCCGTCATCAACGAGTGCCCAGTGGAGAGAGTGGACAGCTTCAAATACCTCGGAGTTCACATCACGCAGGACCTGTCATGGTCCTGTCACATCAACACCGTGGTGAAAAAGGCCCGACAGCGTCTCTACCACCTCAGACGCTTGAGAGACTTCCAACTGCCCTCCAAGGTGCTCAGGAACTTTTACTCGTGCACCATAGAGAGCATCCTGGCGGGAAACATCTTAACCTGGTTCGGGAACAGCACCATGCAGGACAGACGAGCTCTACAGAGGGTTGTGCGGTCAGCTGAGCGCACCATCCGCTCCGAGCTCCCTGACCTGCACTCAATCTACAGCAGGCGGTGCTGGACCAAGGCCAGGAAGATCGTGAAGGACCTCAGCCATCCCAACAACAGACTGTTCTCTCTGTTGAGGTCAGGAAAGCGATTCCGCTCCCTGAAGACCAACACAGAGAGACTGAGGAGGAGCTTCTTCCCGCAGGCGATACGGTCTCTCAATCACACCACCACACAGTACTGACCCACACATATGGTTCTTACACACACACTGGACTTTCTGGACTTTGGTTTTGCACAACACTGGTCACTATATTCTTCATTTCCGGTTAATACTTGTACAGCTGCTGTTATTGTGTATATATTTATTTATATTTAGATTTCTTCATACATTCTTATATAGTTCTATATTGTGTATTGTGTATTTTGTTGTACAGTTATTTTATTTTCAACTTTAATTTATATATTTTATCTTATTCTTCCCAGTTAAATTTACCCTTCATTCTAATTTGTGTTGTACAGTTATTTCATTTTTAACCTTAATTTATATTTTAGTCCTTCCTAGTTAAATTTACCCTTTTTAATTTTTCATATTTATTTCCTATCTTATTCATAGCCTTTTCCTTTTTTGTTTTCTTTAGGTCACGAGCAGTTGTCCAAGCATTTCACTACATATCGTACTGTGTATGACTGTGTACGTGACAAATAAAATTTGAATTTGAATTTACATATGCATGATGAGTATACACGAAACATCTATGCACAGAAACACCCAAAACGTAATTATCACACTTGGATCTGTTACTGACTGTCATGATCCAGTCAGTCACAGATTGAAGAGGGGGAAGAGGGTGAGGCCCTCATGTTAAACTTCATCTATGGAACAAATGTGTTTGGGACAAGCTGTTGTACCCTCACAGAAAACCATTATGATTTTACCAGTGTATGAGGCCAGTGTTTTATTCAAAAGCCTTGAATTCATAGGTGCATCACCTGAAGCGCCAATAAGGAAGAACATTGAATTGTTCCCACGTCAGATTAGTGGATATTGTGCAGCAAGTCCTGTGAAACTAGAGAACAGCTTGGGTAAAATGGGCACATCACTGAACACCAGCTGATGAGATGATTTAAAAACACTGCCATAAACAATGCCATTACAAGGATAATTGCTGTCAAACCCAGTGATGGTTTTATCAGGTTATGTAACTTGCAATTACTTCATTATGGCCTGATAGAGAGCTACAGATGGTTTTACTAAAATCACGTCCTGATTTGCAACTGGTGTTGCAATTTAAAATGTATTAAAATGAGCATCCATTAAAACTTGGACTACTTTATCTTTTATTCATTCCCAAAGGAACAGTAACAGCAGTAATTGTTGACAAACCATTGCATTTATTTGGTATGAAGGCCATCTTGTGGTTATTCTCTTGTAGCCTTTTGATTTGGTCTTGGTTTTCTCTCTAGGTTCCAATTTCTGTAATTTAGGACTTATGATGTGTCTCATACTATATCTAGCAGTAGAAAAGATTATCCCTAATGTTAAATGACATGCAAACCAGCATGTTTGGTATTCATTACCATGAAAAATTTCCTTGAGGAATAGTATGAACATTGATTTTGCCAGGTGCTGGAGATTGCCTTCTGATGAATCTATATCTTCAACATTTGCAGGAAAGTTTTGGAGATTTTCTATCCTGGTGACACCTACAGGATGATCAGGCTGGCTCTGGGATTTGTTGTTATCCTGACCACTTTCTGCATCATTTACTGGACAGCAGCAGAGCACTTGTCTAACAGACTGATTCAGCTCTGACAGTAAATCTTTCATACCTCACGCAATAGCTCTCTACAGTTTACACATCTGTCTGGCAAGGCATCACCTCATGCTAACAGTTTATTTCAAGACTGTGCTCTCAAAACACCTTACACTCTTACACTTACCCACTGTATGTCCTCTGGTTTTTGCTATGCTGCTTTACTACAGTCAGTAAGCTAGTTTAAATTCTTCTCTTTGACATGTTTTACTTAGCTGTACATTATTATTTCATGCTTTTTTCCCACCTACATCAGACTGACAACCTGTCCTGAATGTACCCTGGCTCTTGGATAGTCCCCAGCCCTCAATGCACCTGAAGTGGATAAGTTGAAGAAAGCAAATGGATGGATGGATTTCTATTTCAGTTCACTTTTTTAAAAGTATTTATTTTCATTCCAGGTTAGTTATTGTTTGGTCATGTCATAGTCTGTTTTGTTAAGCTTGTATTCTGTGTTTGTTTGGGATAAAGTTTATCCTATCTTATTGTCCCTATTGTGACATACTACTGCCCTTTTCTCCATAGTTACATGAATTTCTCAATTATTGGAGTAATAAACAGATAGTTCGACGGGACTAGCTATTTGAAATCTATGATTTAGTTGAAATTCTTCATTATTCAGCTACATCTTTTATTATAGCCAATTTTAATAGTTTTTTCAGTAGCCCTTTCGCTGTGACGAAAAGCCTAATACTATGAAGATACGGAATTTTTTCTGGATAGTTTTTTTTTTTCTGTAGTCCTGTGCGAGAACTACAAATCTTAGAGCATCCTGTAGAGTATCATGTGATCATCGAAGGGGCGGAGTTAAACGTAGTTTCGCTCTGGACCTCCGCACGGTAATTTTGTAGCTGTAGGTAGCTTATCACGGTGCAGAGAAGGTTTGTTGTGGCATTGTAATTTAGCATTATTACATTTTACGAACAGAGACGTGGGCCCCTGGTGTGTGGCAAACCGCTGATTTCTCAAATCTTAAGCGTGTTTTGTGGAAATGTTATGTTAGCTAGCTTACAGCTAACTTGGCTAGCGTTGTTCAGTAAAGTTAGCTGTGGTTGTTAAAGTGATGCTCCCACTGTGGGAAGCTAGAGGACGAACTCTCGGGTTTAACCTTCGTGTGATGATAAAAGGTGGTTTTACAACATGATCTGTGATTGGAGGGATTCAGCTGATTTAAATCACTTACGAGGCTCTCCTCGTATGGCACTTGCTTGCTCATTGTGCGAGTTATGCTTGGAGTCTCCCGGTAAATGCTAGAAGGCCTGTGCTGTGTTGTTTGAGCTGCTTTTTGTTTGGCTGCATTGATTTAGGTCACACCTGCCTGGATGCTGCTTATCTCTGTAAACCAAGCCAGCACTTGCCCGTCTGTACTGTATCAGTTTTCACTCTGACCCTGTCTTATCTTTCTTTTCTTTTTTTTTGTCTTACAGTAAATCAGGTCAGAGGCTTAAAGCCGCTGGATTTAAGTGGCAAAAGGCTTTATTTCTTTGACCTCCATCATCATTAACTCAGGGACGACAGCCACTGTGAAGAGGTTATTAGCTTCACTCGTTTGCTGATTAACCTCTGTGTCATCTTGGGTAAGAGTTAATTCTGCTGTTATTTAATGTACGTCTAAATATCCAAGGGATATTTATGTTTTGGTGTCGGTAGTATTTGACAGTAAGTCAAACACCATAAACAGACTTAGCTTTATGATTATGGATCTGATATGATTATTACAAACTTATTATTATTATTACACACTTATTATTATTATTATTACACACTTTATGGTAAGTTAGGTTTTGTGGACTCTTAACCACTAATCTAGGTAAACTGTTTTTAATAGCGTAATGTATTGGTCTCATTCTATGTCAACTGACCCAGAGCATCCAGCCTGATGATCTCCAATTTCCTTGAAAAACTTCCAGTGATGATAGACTTGAACTTTTGAAATTATTTATTCCTGAAGTCACAGTAGCAGATATTTGGCCTATAAATTAGAATGACATAGTGTAAGTAGTTCTCTAGCTTCAGGGCAGTCAGAGGTGGTCAGGCTGGGAAATGTTCTTAAATTTGGTTATGTCAGTTGTCATGTAAAGATCCATATGGAAAAAATGTCGTTCTGCTCCCAAGATGGTAAATAGCAAATGGATGTACAGCGCTTTTCTATTCTACCTGAGCACTCAAAGCACTTTATACAACTTGCCTCAATCACCTGTTCATACAGGCACTTTTTTCTATGCTTTTTCTACTGAAGTGCTTTCTGTCTAACATTCATGCATATTTAAACGAGAAACTTGGGGTTAGTATCTTCCCTGACGATACTTGGCATTAATACTGGAGCAGCCAGGGATCAAACCACCAACCCTCTGATTAGTAGATTACTTGCTCTCCCTCCTTTTTTAATTTTGTTTTTTCTTTAATATTGTGAGATAGATGACAAAAGGAAAAAAATCATCTGTCAGGAGGAAGGTACAGAAACTACCAGGTTTGATTTGAAGTTGCTTTGTTAAGAGACAGTGCTTGACATTTTTATTCAGGATAGTGAGACAGAACATTTTTCTTGGTAGTGGATGTGTTTCTGAATGTCCTTTTAGCTCTTGTACGCTATTAATTTTGTTTGGATCTCGAGTGCTGCAGTGAGCAATGCAGCTGTACGGCAGCACTCTACCTTGACAGCATATAGATTAAAAATTATGGAGCGTGATAATACTTTTTAATGTGACTATACTGCTTGTTAAATGCTTTGTTCTGATTTTTAGGGTTAAGTAGGTGTCAGGAAACATCATATCAATAAGTCACTGGAGAAGATGGAGACAACAGGGAATGTGTCCAATGGTGCAGGGCCTGTGTATGAGCAGAAAGAAAAGACCCTCAGGTAAAGCTGCTTCCAGTAACATAGTATCTGTGTTAATAAGATTTGAAATGAATAATCCTGCTTCAGTTTTGCCACATACGCAACAAACCAAACTTCCTTTCTTTCTCCAGGCCAGAGGATCTGTCTGAGATGCTGGCAGCAGGGACCAAGCAGATTCACGAAAAGGCTGAGAACACTCAGTTTGTGAAAGATTTCCTCAGGGGTCGCATCCGCAAAGAGCTCTTCAAGGTGAGTGTCAAGAAAAAAGGTAGACGATGTCCTTTTTTTATATAGAAGACTACTTCACAAAGCAAAGCCTGCAAATAAATGTGTTATAGAAAACTGGTGGAAACAAGAACACAAAGCAGACAGCTCATGTTACGCTTGTGTTTGAAGAAGGGCAGAAAAAGTGGCTTTTACACCAACTTTTCATGTTTGTTTCCCTCAGCTTGGTGCGGTGGCGCTTTACTACACATACACGGCCCTGGAGGAGGAGATTGAAAGAAACAAGGATCACCCCCATTTTGCTCCTCTTTATTTTCCCGCTGAGCTGCATCGCCACGAAGCTCTGGCCCGTGACCTCGAATACTTTTACGGTCCAGAATGGAAGAGCCACGCAAGCTGCTCAAAGGCCACCCAACAATATGTGGACCGCATCCATCAAGTAGGGCAGGAGGACCCAGTTTTGCTGGTTGCACATGCCTACACTCGCTACATGGGGGACCTATCTGGTGGGCAGGTGCTGAAGAAGGTGGCACAGAGAGCCTTGAAGCTGCCGCCCACAGGAGAGGGCTTAGAGTTTTACCAGTTCGATGCCATCCATAGCGCCAAAGCATTCAAGCAGCTGTATCGAAGTCGGATGAATGAGCTGGAACTGGACATGGAAACAAAGAAGAGACTGGTGGATGAGGCTGTGAAGGCTTTTCTGTTCAACATTGAGGTGAGAGGCCAAGCCTTAAGTCTTAAACCTCAGTTGTTGAACAAGTGTGTCTCCAGTTCACCTGTTTATACACAAACGCATTCAAGCACCGTTGGTGGTGGACGTGCAAGGTTCTTCTGTTTCAGTAGTGTAATAAATCGGGGATCCAGCCATCAACCGTATGAGTTTTGCTCTTTCCAAGTATTTGAATTACTCATAGATGTTTCATCTATCTGTGTTATCCAACAACAAATTGTAGACTTTATATTTCAACCTCACATGCTTCACGTTCGTTCTGGCAGGTGTTTGAGGAGTTAGAAGAGATCGGCAAAACCATCCAGGAGGATGTTTTAGATGCTGGCATGCCCGTTCATGGAGCAATGGGTGGAGACATCAGCAAATGTCCCTACTACAATGCCAAAATGGGTAAGTGTACTGCCTTTGTAAATATATGTAAGTGATACCGTTTCTTGTCACTAACTAAGCTTTTGTCCGGACCTCCTTTGTGTCACAGCGGCATCAGGTGGAACAGCATACGTCCGTCAGCTGGCCATGGCTGCTCTCAGACACCCGACAGGACAGGTCCTGTTTGCTACTTGGTTTGCTGCCTTGGCTGGACTGGTTGCGTGGTATCTGATGTGATCTGTCGCTCCGTCTGCCACTCTGCTGCTGTGTGAAAAGAGGACTGTAACAGGAAGGACAGTAAAGGACACTGAGATCTTTCCACGAGATGTGGACCGTGTCATAGCTTGTGGTCCAAGTTTATTTATTGTTACATATTGCATAATAATGTAAGCTTACAAAAATATGGAACAGTTAAATTCAAGCAAAATGATCTATAGGACCAATATAATTCCATCCATCACGCTAGATTTATTCATCTTTTAAATTCTCTACCTCCTCCTGCATTATCCCTCCAATCTGTGTCCTTCCAGTTGCATTTGGTCGTATCTCGAGACCTCATGTAGATCTCCTATTTTCTTACTGAAGTGACATTTCTGTCATGGCTACTGAACGGACCCACGCGCAGACAGTTCTTTCAAGGAAACAAAAAGGGGATTTATTTACAATAGGGATCACCTTAGTGCAAAATATATGTACAGTGAGTTGGGAGGGGGTCCAGGGCTCCAGGGAGAGAAGGGGGGGGGGGATCCACACACACGCTTCCTCTTCCACTCAGTCACCGCCACCGCTCCTCCGCACACACGCACTCCTCTTCAGCCGCACTCGCTCCAACACTCCACACACTGCCCCACTTGGACAGGTCCGGTGATTCGGTCCAGAATCTACAGACAGAAGGTCAAGGTTAGTTCCACAACATAAAACACGTGTAAGCGATTCTTCTTTGAATATGCCGCGAGCACGAACTCAGGTGGTTCGACGTTCCAGCGGTGAGCTGCTCTGTGCCACTGCCTTAAATAGCAGCTGAGGAAATCAGCCAGATCAGCCGCAGGTGGACACCATCCACAGGGGTGCGTGGGCCAAGAGTGAGAGCCCGTAATGAGCTCCACCCAGGCAGAGAGGAGGAGGAGAGACAAAAAACTAAAACTAACAACAACAAAACCTGTAGCCAGCGTGGGCCAACCAGAGAGACACGGGGACCGTGACAATTTCGTTCCACAACTGTATCTGGCTGTTTAGTATTTATTCCTTAATAATAAATTGAACATAGAGTGAGTTAATTGTGTGATTAGTAAAGTTCGCTGTGCACTTTAGATTTCTACTGAAGCCTTTAGTAAGAAGATTATTTGGAAATGTAAACTTTGACTCCTCGTATATAATTATCTTTATTTCTGCACAGTAATTCAGTTGCAAAGTTAATGGGAAAACCCAAATTTCATTAATCCATTAAGCTTCAGCTTCAAATATTTCCAAACGGTTTGTTTTTTGAGACGGGCGATAGCAGTTAAAAGCTTGATTAATAATCAGTCTTCACATACTAATAACATATACAGGATATTTTAATCTCTCCTGGTGCATGTTCAATTGTATAATTTCTCTGTTTTCAGAATTATGTGACAGTGCACCTTGTATTTGTTCAACAAAACCAAACAAACCTGCCTGTTGGTTTGATTGCAGAGCTTAACTATCCAATATGAATAATTCACTGTAATAATTCAGCTTTACTGGCAAACGGGAGCCTATATTAGGACAGAGGTGCGTGCGGCTGTTTTAAGAGGAAGATTGTATTTTTGTACTAATGACGCTTCATCCACATTCTTTCATGAGATGAATTTGTGTGAGAATACCTTCAGCAGCTCAGCACTTATTTATGTGTCCATTCGTTCTGGATGCATCAGTATGCATTGTGAATGTACGAAGTGGGATGATCACCTATATTGAGTTTTATTTTGTTTTTTTAAGCACAGAGAAGTGTGTACTGTATGTATTTTGTGGTTGAAGTATAATCTTTATCCTAACACAGTAACGGTATTTTTTAACTTAAAGCACTTGAGGCACAGAGAACCAAAAAAAACAAAAAATACTGCACATAAGTGGATGTGCAGTATTTTTTGATGACAGATGGCTTTATGCATCATATATGGAGGACAAATACAGGGATAGGCTGATACGCTCCTGTAGTTTCCACGTAATACCATTTTATAATGCTAGTGTCAAAATGATTCAGTAGTTTTGGACCTATTATCATAGATTAAACGTGGAGTGATTGCCTGAGTCATATGTATTTCTGATTTTCTTGCATTTTCATTGACTCTGCTCTTAATCCTTATCTGTATCTAACTGGAGCTTTACTAGTAACTGGCTAGAGTAATCTCTTTGTATGAGAGTGGGGAAAAACTGTATGTTATGCTTTCAGTAATGAAAAAAGACATGTTTTGTTTTCATGAAGAAATAAAACATTCTTTTTGACTTGTAGTTGCTCCTTTGTTTGTTTGCCTTTTCTATCATACAGCTACAGTAATTATACGATTTTGGGTAAAACATGAGATGGATTTGTTGTATACATTCATTGTCACCTAAAGGTCTAATAACAGATGAATTGTAGGTGCCAGGTTATGTTACTCATAGTGCTGTCCTCCACCACTCCACAAAACGAGAGAAAACAGATGGAGGGTATGCTTGCCTCTTTGGATTTTGAATTAAAGTTTAATGTTGGCACACCTTTGGCTACGTTCACACTGCAGGCGAAAGCGCATCAAATCCGATTTTTTTGACACTATGCGACCCATATCCGATCATGGTATGACAGTGTGAACGGCACAAATCCGATATTTTCAAATCCGATGGGTCACTTTCGTATGTGGTACTGAATCCGATACATATCCGATGTTTTAGAAAGCGACTGCTGTTTGAACGGTCATGTCGCATTAAATCCGTCTTTTACATCACTGACACAAGACACACACCAATTATCAGCGCCGGAGAAGACATCGCAAACGCTTCCTGGCCATCCAGCGTAGATGTCAGTGAAACTGTTGGGAAGACAACGTTGGAGAAACGTGAACGTTTTATTTGTACTGTATAATCTGTAGATTCTGACAGAAATCTGCAACTATCCTTTGAAGCACCGCTCCTCTCTAAAACAGCAATAAGGATAATTATTAGGTTATCTACATTATTATGTAAATAACAAAATAACTTAAAGCAAAAATTGGGAAACGAAGTCCGAAGTCTTTATTTTAAGGGCCATCAATCAAACAATATTGTTTGCTGTGGGTCTAAACAGAGCGCGTTATGTGTGACATGTTCTTTTGCGCATGCGGGCCGCTTTGAGCGTTCACACTAGAGCACGTTTGCTGGCACATTTTATTTGTAGTGTGAACAAGCAGACAAAAACATCGGATTTGATCAAAAAATCGGAATTGAGCATTAACACCTGCAGTGTGAACGTAGCCTTTGAGAGATGCTCCTTTATTTTCGCTCATCACCTTTTTGTTGCACAGGGTAATGTAGACACTTTGTGTGGGAATGAGTTTACTCATTTACACATATAAAACAAAGTGAATGAGCTCATCATTACTCATACATAAGACTAAAAAAGGGTATAAAGAGTCAGAAAAAAGCGAATAATTTCTATAGTTTTGGCTGATTACACGCGCTAAATCCTTCATCGCCATGGAACCCAGGCTCTGCAGGATCTTCTTTCTCATCCTGCTTAAAGTGTGTGTGTGTGTGTGTGTTTCTCCAGCAGTAATAGTGTTTTGGTACCCTGCTGTTGTCTTTATGTTTTTGAACCATACAGTATTATCAATGAAGGATAGAGATTGTTGCCTTGGACAGAAACCACCTCTCGTGATTTGATGAAATATTTGCAATTTCACAGGGTTATTATAGAAGATTTGTCAACCCTAAAATCAACACCACAAAGCCTTTCATCTGCCTGTAGAGGACCAGAGCTTGAGAATCACACAAATTCCATCCCTGAGGGGGTATGAGGCAAAATTAAAACTAGATCTGAAAAACAATATAAAAACTACTTTCGGGGGAAAAAATGAACTTGAAAAACAGAAACTAAAACTCTTTAGTTTTAGTTTCTGTTAGGTTATAATATTATCTAAAGTTTTTACCAATTATTTCTTACAGCTATGTAGTACAGCTGTTAATACCTGTGCTGACTTTTCTAAATCTTGCCTCTGACAAATGCCCTCCACACAATAAAAAGATGACAATGTCAACAAAAAGTGAAAATGTAAAAGTGCCGGAGCAGTAGCGCTGTAATGCATCTCTGTTTACGGGTGTACCTAATGAAACGATCAGTGCATATACAAAGACATGTTAAACATTAAGGTGCAGACAGAGTCAAAGCATTGTGAACTTTATTTTTTCTGTACTTTACATAAAAGGTTTTTTTTCTGGGCCCTAGCTTTATTAGAGCTGTACAGTATCTCTTCTATATAGCACATTGATGCATTAATGTATGCTCTACAGCTGTTTATGTACATGTGGACTGTGGTTGAGGATTAAAATCAATTTCTCTCTCATAATGCAACATGACAGATCAGAATAAATCAGTTTTCACAGTTTGAACAGTTCAGTTCGATCTTCTATGATAATTCTGAGACTTTTACTTTCCACTGTTGACACACCTCCAGCCCACCACAGCAAACTTTATTTTGATGTTTATCCTGCCAGGACTGGCAGCGCTGAGGAAGCGGAGAAGCCCAAGCATGAAAACACAACTGATGCATACAGAACTGAAAGATTAATAACAGGATTGTTTAACCCTGAATAAAACTTTAGACTGCACCTGAAGTCTTTGTGGATACAATAACTTATTTGTGCGCATGTGGATGCTGTTATCACCGTTATGTTTCTCTTCTGATAAAGAATAGAAAACTAACATTGACATAAGAAATTACAAGTGTTTGCTATCACCATTGCTTCTATGGATGCTCGACAGAGGTCTCTTGTTCCAGGATCCACTTTGGCAGAGGTACAAAGTGCATAATCCTCTTGGTTTTTGATACAGGGCTGGGTAGGTAGGTCTGTAATACTCCATCCAGAACTACAGTTGTCCAAATCCCAGTATTCCTCTTTCCGTTGTCCTCCTACTTGTCTTCTGACACACTGATGGAGGCTCTCAGTTCATGGAAGATCTTTTACCTTGAAAAGGAAGCAAAAAAAAAAGAAAAGAAAAAAAAAAAGAACTTAAGACAACAAGAAAAACAGCCAAATTGAAAAGATAAGGAGCAGACACCTGATACATCCCTAAACTGGCTAAATGCACTGTGTTCTTATGCGACAGCCACAAACCAGATAACAAAGTATTAAAAAAGTATATTAAAAAAGTTTACTGTTTGTGAACAACAGCACGAGAAAAGGTTCAGTGAGAGATGAACATAAATCAGTAACCAGTCCTACCTGGTTTGTGGCTGTCAGGACGAACTAAATAATTTCCTTAATTTGGAGAAGAAGCCAACTTGTTGATTCAACTCTGCCTTGTTGTCATGTTTTCTTTGCCCTGCCTCAGACCGCCTACCACTGCTGCCCCCACCTGGACAGAGATTGATACTCCATCAGCCAGGTTTATCAACTAGGCAGAAATTCCTTTCTCAATCTTATTTCAGTGGACCAGAAGTACACAGCAAAAACCACAGAAGAAGGTAGAAGTAGGTAATGAAAAAAGCAGGAAACCAGATGAAGCTGTGTACCTGTGGTGGTGGCAGTGACACCATTTACTGTCCCCTCTATGTCCGTCTCATCCTCAGCGTAGCTCATCAACAGAGCTCTTTGCCTATCTGTGAGATTCCTATACAGGAAAACAAGGTTTTAGCTTTATTGTGATTTAATACATTTTTAAATTACACTGCAAGGATGTCAGTGCAGTCTTACTTGGGTATTTTAATTTTGACGTGGATGTAGTGATCTCCAAAGCCATAGCCACTGACTCGAGCAATTCCCTTCCCTGACAGGCGGATCCTCTGGTCTGTCTGGATGCCTGTAGGGATCTAAAGACAAATCCAGTCAATTGTTACACTGAATGTGTTTGAAATGTTGCCCAAAGTTGTTGTTATTCGGGTAACAAGACTTTCTACTTACAGATAAATTCAGAGTTTCATATAGGCCCTGTGTTCTCGCTGTGCCGCCCAGGATGGCTTGCGCTACGGATACGTAAAGGTCAGAGTGGATGTCTGCGCCGTCCCTCCTGAATATGGGACTTTTTTGGACCTGGTCACAATCACACGGCAATCCCATTAAAGAGGCTCAGAAGGAAACCCTTCTGGAAGGTCTGGCTATGAGATTAGCATTAAATAGCAGCAACTGATGCGCAACAAATACCCACCTTAAATGTGATGAAGATCTCCTTCTTTCCAACCGGCATTCTCACGGTCTGACCATCCTCCACTCCTGCAGGGCATTATATGTAGTATCAATTAAAACGACTTTTAACTTGAACAGTGGAATGATCCATCTCAAAGAATAATCCCATTAAGATCAACACCAGCAGGCTTTAAAAAGGTACAAGGAGGAGATGTCGCTTACATTTATACTTTAAATTTTTAAGATTAAATGTCTATTTTGTTTTTCTAGACTAAACACCTCAATACAGAGATAAACTATCCTCCAGTCCACAACTATTTAATTATACATTTAGGACAGAGCTAATTAACTTTCTGGCACAAGACCATTTTCAATTTAATATGCATAACTATACGGACAAAAAAGGAGCCAAAATAACCCTGATTACATTACTCGAGTCACATTATGTATTTAACTAGTTAAGAGTAATTTTATCTTTGCATTCTTTCAAATTCTGAGTGATTAAACTATCTTTTACTCAATGTTCATCAGTGAAGCTGCCCTTTTAGGCAATGTTTCAATAACTTTGTGAAACAGCCTATAGCAAAGCTTGCTTTGGCACATGGTCCTGCTCATTAAAAATGAATGCAAACATATCCTTGAGGTATTTGCAGCGTGTAAACAGTAGTCAGATAAACAGACTTGAGTGTGACTGACCTGCAGGCACAGGAACCATCACCGTCTTCTTCTGTTTGGTTTGTCCCGTGCCACGACAAGAGTTGCAGGGGGTGGAAATGACCGTGCCTTTGCCACCGCAGCGCCGACATGTGGAACGCATCACAAATGGGCCAGTATTTACTGTTTCCTATAGCGGGGAAAATTAATGTTTAATAACACACTTGGAAAAAAAAAGAGATAGAAACGAGATGATTGTTGGAGCTCTTACCATGCCAGAACCATTGCAGTTGTGGCAGTGTTGCACCTTAGTGCCTGGCTCGTGGCCTTTACCATCACAGCGCTGGCAGGCTGTTTCGATGTTAACTGACATCTCTTTGTTGACTCCCTTTGCTGCCTGAGTAAATGTCAGCTCCATAATGTACTATGAGAGGGAGGCAAAACAAACAAATAAAACATGTAAGAAGAGGACATTCTGATTGATAAAATAAACTGTTTCA